TAGGCATTCACCATTTCAATGTCTGCCAACAACAAAATCTTCTGTTTATTAATCCACATCCACACCATACATTAATCCCTATCATCCACATTAAACTGTGATGAAACTAGAGAGGGAATAAGATATCAAAGTTCTTTTAAGATATCTTTTGCTGTAAGATTAACCAAAAGCCCAATAGCTTTATACTACAATCCCATGAACTGAAAGGGCACAGCACTGATTTAAATGTTGATTTTTAAGTGAGTGTAAAGAAACATAGGGAAGTCAGTAATCCTATTCTATAACATGATAGAATCTGAAACTGACCAAAGAGAGAAGCAACCTGGAATTAAGGAGAAACTTCCTAACAGTGAGGACAATTAACCAGTGGAAGAGCTTGCCTCCAGAAATCGTGGGCGTTCCATCATGGAGGTTTTTAAGAAGAGACTAGACAGTCACTTGTCTGAAATGGTATAGATTCTCCTGCTTGACCAGGGGGCTGGACTAGAAGACCTCCAAGGTCCCTTCCAGCTCTATTTTATTCTAATAATAATTCTGATTAATTATTATTAATTCTGAGTAAAATTTAACTTCAGTGAACATGAACTTGTTGGCCCATCTTCTCAATTAATTCAGAAGAAATATTTGGGAAAAAGATGTAGTGCTTGCTTTGCTTTCCGAAGGTCAGAGCTATTTCTCTCCCTAAAGATTTAATCTTCCTGTTCAATTCCACCGGCATAAGTTCTGTTTGTTTCAATAGTACTTGCCAGGATGAGGAACTTTGAGGATCAAGTCTTTAATCTTTCTGACTCCATTCTAGTCCTGCTGTGCCTGCTCCATTCTTATTTGCACTGTAAACAAGATTTTAATTGAAAATATATTTGTCAATACATTTCACACTGTATTATTTTGCACACACCTAGCCATCGTTTTAGTTAAAACTCATAATTTATCCAACAAAAATAAACACTAGCATGAGAATTGTCACCCTTCCTCATCTCCAACAAACAAAAGTTCTTGATTAAAACAATATGATAATGTGGCAAATTAAGCATGTCTTTGGACTTATATGCAAAACCCGATGGGGAGGGGGCTAGGAACCAGTTGAGAGAATATTTTCTTTTAAATTCTACGCCTTGCCACCATTTCTCATGGACTGCATTTTCAAAAGCATTGGTGCATTTTTGGAAATGTCCAACTTGCACGTTCTTGGATGTCTTTCTGTTCAGCCTACCATGCATGTAAAAGGAGCCCATTCCCATGCATGCATTAGGGGCAGACTGTGCCAGATTTGGGTGTATACAGTATTGTACCCCAAAAAGATAGTTTTGCCTTGGTGTGCTTTCTAAATGGTGAATTGACCAACCTAGCTCCCCTAGTGTGCATGATGTCCAGTTGCAAGCTTCATTCTGTACTTAGTGGGTAATACGTCTCAGTCTCTCAAAGGATCCCATTCGGCAGAACACATCTATGGCTTTGTGGGTCTCAGCAATTGTTCTGTTGAGCACGTTCTTCATGATGTGGCATGTGACTTCCCAGCAGCACTGCCCGCATCCCACCTTCCAGAGGAAATATCTACAAAAGTGGCTGTGGCTGCTGGAGAAAGAGGAGGGGGGGTTGCACGTGAAATAACCTGTTTAGAAGATGGGGGTCCAAGGAGGATGTATGTGGGCTTCTAACCTTAGCAAAAATTGGGAAAGTACCTTTCTAGCAAGGCTGCTTCCTGACTGTCCTCACCGCTCCTGTGCCAAAGGAGGTCTGTCGGTGCTTCCCAGCTAATTTGGACCAACCTAGCAGCTTTCTTCAAAGAACGGATGGGAACAATCCCCAAGTCTCTGTCTTTAGGCCCTTAATATAAGGAAGGGAGGCAGAAGCAAGCACTAGGTGGGATTTCAAAATGCTGCTGCTTTTCCTTGCATCCTTTGTTGATTTCGCCGACCTTGCTGCAGGTTGCAAGCACTGTCTTTCCTAACCTCTCCAGCACTTTTGTGCCATTATTGGTGCATGCGTGCCCAGGCACACTTTAAATGATGCTGACTTGCTTCTCCCCACCCATTTCTACACACACTTCCATGCCTCAATGCATCTAGAACACACCTCTGCAGTTTAGTCCAAATGTACACCGCCAATTGAATGGGGTGGTAGAGTCCTACCATGGTAGAACAAGCTCTACAGCTTTAACCTGTAAGTAAAAGAGATCTTTGCTTCACCCTATTGGGAGAAAAGATAGACAGAAAAGCGCCTTATGCCAGTCACATAGTTTGTCACGGCATTTGCCATTTTGTTTGGTGGCAGCTGAGAGGAACTCAGGCACGGAGCCTTTCTTTCGGCTCATTTCCTTCTGGCAGGGATTTTCCCAGGGTTTCTGGTTCTCCTTTAACTGGAAATTTAAAGAATAAAACCTGGAAGCTTTTGCATAAAATGTGTCTGCTCTGTCATAGAGTAAAGGCTCTTGATCAACTTAGTTGGTTCTCTACCTGCAGGTTTTTCTTTTATTTCATTAGGCAGACATATAAAAACCCCTTCAGAGTAAGGTGGTGTTGTTTGCTCTGTTATCTGGATCTCTACCATCTGATTCTATTGAATGTGTAGATGAAGGTGTCCAACCTTGGCGATTTTAAGACCTGTGGACTTCAACCTCCAGAATTCCCCAGCCAGTCAACTCCCAGAATTCTGAGAGTTGAAGACCACAGGTCCACATGTTGCCAAGTTTGGACAGCCCTGCTATAGATACAGCCTAAAAGGTAGTCTTGGACTCTTGGCACATCTGTCCTTTTTTTCATCCCAATTGTGTAGTTCTACAAAGCATGAAGGGGCCATCAGTGAAAGGATGGCATTGGGTGCTCTGCATCCCATTTGAACAGAAAGTTTTATCTTTCCTTTAGCCATATCTCAGATCTGGAGATTATGCATCAGATAAGCCACCAAATCTCTAAAAACAACTAAGCCATTAGTGAACTCAATTGGTGTAAGATTACGCTATGATGGTGACTTAAATGTTAATTACAGCTGGTAACTAGAACAGCCAAGAACCGATTTGATTTTGAAGTACAAAGTGAGTCAGGAAAGCTCCTTTCATGTTGGGAGCATCTCTCTTTCCAAGTGTCATTTTCATAAAATCCGGTGAGCAAGAGAGCTTAATAAGTCTGCCCATTGAAACTCAAAAAAAAAAAAAAAACAGCTGCCACGCCACTGCACTGTTCATATGGCCTTTTTTTGTTTTGTTTTCAGTTGTAACAAAATGATATTTCTCTGTCTCACTAGGATGTTCTATGTATGTGTCCTGTTCCTTTTTCAAAAACCCTTTTTGAATTTCTGCGTGATTCTCTCCAGTAGCAATCTCTCTGGTATTTCAGGAAAAAAAGGGAATTTATTCATAATTTCATTTCCTGTTGCTTATTGTTTCTGTGCATGTCGCTGCATTTTCATAGCCCCCTGTTTATACGGTCCCATTCTTTTGAAGGTTTTGTTTTTATTTATTGTTTACCTTCATATGTTCTTTTTCCTGTCTTCTGCACCTTCCTCTTTATTTCTGTCCCCAATCATCTGAAAGTTTGCTAAAGAGTGGGTAAGTGTGTCCTTACGTTTTGTTTTCTTTTCTTCCAAGTTCCTGTTGTAGAATGTGACTGTTCCATTGAGAAAAAAATAAAAAAATAAAGCAAACACTGAGCAGCTCAAACTAGCAAAGGAACTTTAGTCAATGCTAAGGGACCAAGGTCTGACACTTCTAATTGCCCCTCACACTCCTTTGTTCCCTAAAGCACAATTTAGTATTTACCGCAGATCTGTCTATTCTAATGCTTTTTTGTTTTGGTTTGATTTTTTTTTCTTTTCGTATTTTAGATTTCTTTTTGCTTGTATATTAACATTTTAAAATAACATTAGCACAAACAAGTGGCAATAAATACAGTGACTAAGATCAGCACTTTCAATGTTTTATTTAATGTGGGGGAGAGGCGATGTGGAAGAAAATCATCATATATTAAATATTTTGTCTGTTCTTGACAAAACAAAAGAATACGACATAGTGTTTGTTTAGTCACCCAAAGACTTTACTTTTTTTTAAGAAAAAGGAAGTATGTTTATTGCAAATTAGCTGAAAATGTTCTTATCTTCCTTGAAAACAACTCAGAACAAAGTAAGTTTGATCTGGTCAGTATTTGGGTGGAGGAACATGGTGGGTCCGGGGGGAGGGAGGAACTCTGTGTAGAAAGTGACGTGGATGTTTTGTTGGTGTCAATCTTTTCTATGAGTTGGCATTGACCGAAGGCCCCAGCATGACCTAACTGGAGGGGTCTCAGTACTTGCACTTGCCATCTTTTGCATGACTCAGAACACCCATGTCTCAATCATTGTTACACTTGGTCATAAAGGCCCCAATTCGCTTGAGTGCTTAACCAGCACCTGAATTGGAACGCTACGTACTTATCTAATTTCCTTTCCAAAGGTGGATTCTAAAACTGATGTTCTGCTTCCAGTTGTTCATACTCGATGGCTCCACATACTGAAGCTTCTCTGCTTCAGTGTCACTCATCTATAGGTTTCCTCTGACACAACAGCTTTGCTCTGCGCCCCAAAATAGCTGTCGTTGTGCTAGCCAGTGTTGAGCTGTATTTCAAGTTGTTATTTCAGACTTAAAGAACGAGCATCTCGACCGTAAATTGTGAACAGCAGATGTAATATGCTCTTTTACCACTGGCGCTTCCTTATTTTTGTGATTTTCGTATAGCAAAGAGATGCTAGATGTTTATCCTGCATGCATTTGATTCTCCTTAATGTTGGCTCAGCTGCATGCACGAAATCAAAATTAGGATTTGACCAACATTCACAAATTCCTGTCAGAGGCTCCTTAGTCAAAGGCATTGTGTATATGTTAATTCATTACTGGCCACCACATTAGAACACATGTTAATCAACATTGAAGTATCATAGTCAATATCTGCCGTAAAAGTAAATAGCTATGTGTATTGCAATTGATTTACACTAATAATATTTTACTTCCATTCTTCTTCCATCCTTAGCACCAGTACCATTCAAAAATAGATGAACTAATTGAAGAAACCGTCAAAGAAATGATAACACTCCTTGTAGCAAAGGTAACATTCAACCTCAGGTGAAGGGATTCGTGGTTAATAATTATCCTTTAAAGGGAATGCACACACGTTCCCATACAAATGTGACACATTTAAGACAAATAGGTGGTTTGCTGTTTGCCATGAAAGAAATCCAACGCTACTTAGTCTTGACAGATTGAACGTCTCATGATTGTCATGTGCATAAAATGGAGCAGGAAAAAGGTACAGGTAGTCCTCGACTTATTATGATAATTGAATCCAGAATTATGACTGAGAGTCATGCCAGTCATTAAGCAGGTCATCACATGACAGAACTGATGTATATATTATATATATATATATATGACTGATAGCACTTAAAAAAGTGAGCCCACCAGGAGAATTATGAAACCATAAAAAGGTTTAATAAATATAAAACGCCGAGCTTTCGCCGGGTCCTCCCGGCTTCATCAGGGCAAACTGCCACGAATGTGAGATGTGCTTTATAAGGATGGAATCTTTTGCACACGGCCCTTCGATCGTGTTG